CACATATATACAATCTGTCTGAAGTTGGCTCTCACAATACACAACTTTATTGAGTGAATGCTTTTGATATTTCGACTTGTTAAAACGATGCATTCACGTTTTTTATTGCCGATTAATATTTTTTTATGAATAAAACATTTTTTTTAAAACATTGGCAATCATAATATTCATTAAATTAACCACTAGAAACATATTTGTGGATTCATTTCGTTTTGATATTAGAATAGTAATCGATACGAAAGTAGATGGCGGTAGGATGTAAAAATCTTTTTGCAAAAGTGACATTTCAGTACAAAATACGTTTTGATATTCCTACCCGATTACTCTCATCCGAAAATAAGTTTAACTGAACATTGTTGTAACATATATAATCTATTCCAGTGCAAACTTTTGTACTTGCATCTCCTGGAAAGAATTCATTGATTCATTTAGTTCTTGCAATTGAATATTGTGATAGAGACATGCTTTTATGGGCTGGTCTAAGGTACATTTAAATATTAAATCTCTTAACTATTTTCAGTCCCATTATTTGGGGGTTGGTTCGATAAATCTTACTTGGCATCGAAAATTTCACGCATCCGCACTTCATGTATGTCACATTTGCCAAACACTCGGCTTCACATTTACTCTCCGAATAAACTTTGAAGATTCGCAACTGACGCTCGGATTCATAGAAGCATTTCCATTGGTTTGGTTCGTAATTCCGTAAATCATCTGAGGTGGTTGTCACCTTTGGTTTGATTGCAATATGTGTTGTTTCAGAAAGAGGCACTTCGATGTAATTTCGTGACATTTCTATTTCTTCGCCTGGTGTTCGCAGTATCACTCTGAATCCAGTTAAGAAACCATTGCAATGATGCATAGGGTTTCGGATGGAACACAAGAGAGAAATATGAAGAGCGTTCTGACTACCCGTATGAAGAACACGCAACGGATATTCATCTCCAATTAATTTGTTTTTGTAGCCATCTTCCAAATTCCAGCCAAGAATGTTGGGATTATTTTTAACAATCTTCATTTCGGGAGCCATTCTGAATGAATAATGTTTAAATGGAATTAATTCTAGAAAAACATTATTGTGTAATTTCTGTACTCGTCTGTGAATATCTCGTGTGAATTGAGGGCATTGAAAGTGAAGCAAAAACCATGCTCAGTGAAAACGGGCACAATCAATCATCTGACCTTGCCATTTGCAACTATAAAATGTCTCATTAAATTGTGGTGCTGTATCCATAATTGTATCGCAAATTGTCATATTTGTTGCTTCATACAGTGGTGTCTAAAAATTGATGGAATTATTTTCTCTCTTTTTTTAATTAAAATCTCCGACATCAATACTCACGCCATCTGTTAAAATATGTTTGATAAACATAATGTAGAGTGCTGGGCATAGATGTAGTAGAGAATTAAACCGCGCTAATCTGACCATGAGTGATAATAAAAATAAATACTTTTTAGAATTGAAACATTTTATGGAAGAATTGATTCGGCGAGAATAAATGGGGGAATATAGAAACTTTTTGAGGTTTCACTTTTTCAGCATGCATATTTCAAAGTTCGTTTCTGTATTACCACTTCTATTCCCATGGACTCAATTTATCTATAGTTACTATTTCGTACGTAACACTGAACGTAACGCATTTTTATCACCCACATATATTTGTTTTGTAATAAAAAAAAAAATGTTGATAATCGATTAATGTGAAAAAGTTAATGTTACTAGTTTAGGTTATGCATATTTTACTTTGCAATAGTTGGTTTTTCGTCACCCAAATCCTTGTACCAGTGGTATTTGCGTAATGTAGCTTTATTTTGGTTACAGATGGTGACCGACGAAATGGGATGGACGAAATTGGTATTGGGTTCTCGGCAAAGCTCATAGTCACCGGATGTTCATGTCATTTTATCCAAAAGTTGTTGGCCATTACACTGAACAACCCAAGTGATAAAACGATCGAAATAAGCCACAACAATCTATGACGAATTATTTATAGTTTTGAAATATAAACTAAACAATTTCATACAAAATACAAGCACACACCTTTCGCTCCAGTGAAGTCCTTCTTTGGTAAAATATTTAAAACCATGAATAGTGCTTTTGTTACAATAGATCTTGAAAAATTCCTTTAACCTAGGACTAAACTGAACCATTTCTCGAAATGAATTTAGATATTGAGTCATTTTACTTTTGAATTGCGACCGATTGGCTAATTTACACTTCATGATTTTTCGAATCATTTTACAACAAGATGATTTATTAAAGAATTTTTATGAAATTGATACAATAACAGTCTTCCTCGTTCAAAGTTCTTTCTCGTATTGTTATAAATATATCGTGGTAGCACGAATTCAAAGGCTTAGATTTAATTTGTTAATCGAATATGATCGATATGTTGCATGACATAATACATCAATGTGAATTTGCATTTGTAGAAACGAAATTAATTACGATAATTAAATTAATCCGAATAATGGCGATTTTGAAAATGGAATTAGTTTCCAACAATATTATAATTTTCATAGAACTGTGGATTAGAAAAATGAAATCAAATCGTGTGATGAAAAGCTCTGGTTAATTGAATTAAAAACTTTTCATATCTACTACCACCAAAGTGAGTCTATACTTTACTGCAACGAATAATGAACGTTGTATAGAAATTTCAGGGACTAACATTGCCTCCAGTTGGTGTATAGTCAACTGTTTCTCCATTATGTATGTGTTTTAGCTAAATGAGTCCAAAATTAGTGCATATACAAACCAAATTTAACTTTATTTCATACGCACAGTAGATGGCACCCGAATAAAGACTTCTATTCCTATGCTTTGAGGCTGGTTATTGTTATGATGAAATGGGTTAATTTTTTTCTCATTAGATCCATCGCATTCGAAATCAATACGCGCAGAATAATGTCTAGTAAGCATAAAAAATATTGAAATTATGAATTTGCATTGTTTCGTAAAATGACGGTATGCAGAATGTGAAAGCGCCATATCATGTTCAATAGCTATTCTCTACCACCGAATCCTTCTGATGCACATAATGGCAAAACGAAAGAGTGTGGATAAATAAAATGGATCACAATACACTGTAGAGCTGCATGAAAATATTATTAATGTACGAAGCGACCATTTTCGTAGAATCGCCAGTTCCTTATTCTATGCGTGTTTGTATGTGATAAAGAGAGAAAGAGAATCTTTCCGTTTCGTTTAACAAAATGTCATTGAAAATGAAAAGCAAAAAAAAAGCCTAATAATAATAACGAACATGTGTACGCATTGCACATGCTACTATTGAGAAAGAATTATTTCAATAACCTCGCAGCGATCTCTCTTCACATCCATGGAAATGTTTGAGCGCAACAATACACACAGCCCAAGAAGCGGAAAAATAAATTTCACTTTGACTACCAGCAGACGGTATAATAATGTTGTTGGCAAAATATTTTGAGGCGATTTGTTTCTAACAGCATTTCTATCTTGCATTCTCTCTTTGGTTCTCCCCAACGGTTGTTCGCTTGTGGTTCCTCTCTTTCTATCTCTTCTTCGCTTCGTTCGTTCTTTCTGTGTTTGGGATTTTGAGCGGCCTGAATATCTGTGATGCTTTATCTGCGTCGTTTGGTTTTCATTAAAACCGAAAATAACGGTCGCCCGACCAAAATCACCGTGCTCAGATGCGAATGAAATGTATTTCGTATTTGTTTGCTGAAGAGAAAAAAAAATGCTCAAATTAAGCAGAAAAAAACTGAGCGACAACGTATATAAACAAAGGGGAGTAGCAAAAAAATTGCACTAACAACGACTGTAAATAGATAAGATAATGTAGACACTGGACTTATTTGTTTTTATTTTGGTTTTTTTAAATGTATTTCATTCGAGCGCGCTCACCCAAAGTAATATGTGAACAAAAACGGGAGAAAAAAAATAGCAAATAAGACATAACAAAAAAAATGCACGTGTAAGAAATACTATTTTTAAAGAATATTCGAGTGTTGAAATTTTTAAAAAATGTGCCCATGGAAGATTGCTGTTAATTCCATCAGTTATGTGGATGTATCGTTTTGGATTATCGGCAGCGTCGAGACGGAATAAATGATAACACATACTCATCCTCACTTATAATCTCGTAAAAACTCGAGCTCGTGTGCAAAAATGCAATCGAAACAAAACGAGACGGAAGAAAGACGTGAGAACAAAGCATAATGTTCAAAACACTTTTAACCAGATAATTTGTTATGACAGTCGGTGAATAAATTTCCATTTTGAATGGTCGATGAACTTTTGCCGACGACCCATTCGATTTTCATCACTTTCATTCGGTTTGCAACGAAAGGAGAAGGAAAAAAAAGTAGCTGTAATCGCATTCAATTTTAAAGTGGAATATCGTTCATTTGGGTGACATCCAAATGATTTATACATTGAGTTTTCGACTTTCGCCTGGACACCAAATGTCTGACACAAGTGTCAATGATGTAAAGTGCATCCGATGCCAATCGATTCATCAATTTATAGGCACTCACGGCTTTTGCCCATCTTCGGCTCTTCCATCGTCCTTTACCACGTTCAACGCCAAAGTCCAGTTAAGAGGTATCATTGCTCGTTACGTTCATTTTTTTATTTGTGGATGGGGCGGCAATTGTACATTCTATTTGGAACATTCAACATTCATACGCTATGATTTATTTACATTGTACAACCTATTGAAAAGTAAACACAACGCGCAAATGTTTTGGCGCGCGACAATATAAAACAAAACACACACAAAAAATTGTGGAGCTTGTCGACGATGAATGGTGTGTTTATACATCGGTAATTGATCGGCTGTCAAGATGGATTTTGTGTCAAACGGTCGCATTACAACGTTTTTTGACGCGTAATTTGTGTGCATTTTGCAATTTATTGTTGATTGCCGCCGTTCTTGGTACTACTTACGTTCGCCTGGTATGCAAATACAACGAATAATAAACGAAAAAAAAAAACCAAATATGTCGGAGAAAATTTCTGCTTCGATGCTTCATCTTTTAACATTAAATATATGCTTGTGCGATTTGGTGGTTGGGTTGTTTGTCTTTGCTTTTTCATTTTACTAAAATACGGTGCGTACTCTACGTGTGCTCTTTCTCTTCATCTGGGGTTACCATTGACTCTGACTGGCTCTTCTGATCGCTCGTTTCTCTCTTTCGCAGACTCATTCACTTCAAATATTATTCCTATTTTTCCTCTCATTGTTGCTGATATACGATTCACAAAAATGTTGCCGACGTGTGTGCTGAACGCTTGCAATTTTGTGTCACATTAAATCAACGATTCAACGATTTTTGTTTGCATTAATTCTGCATTGGCATTGAATAAATTTATGGAATAAATGTTCTGTCATTATGTGTATATGCGTGTGTGCGTTTGCCATTGATTTCATTGCATATCAAACAAAGTATAGACTCCATTGTTTTCGTATTGATAGAACATAGAATACACAATTGTAAAACCATACTAAACAGATAGCTTAATATGTATCATTTTGTATTCCTTCCGTTCGTATTACTTTGCCTCTTGCGTGCACTTTCAATAAAGTTTTCATTATTGGCAGTGGATAAACCAAAATGCTTCGATTGCCGTTTGGAATTAAAGCCACATTACCACGTGCTTTGTTTTACATTTCACGAAAATTTTCATCAATTTCTAATTAATTCATACCGTTGTTCTCTCCTGTTACACTCTTACTTCTTCGCACACAACTAGTGTGTAAGCCTTACACTGTGAGAGAAAAGTATTGCAATGGGTAAAAATTTTAAAACACATCAAAAACATGTTTTCCAGACGTTTCCAAAGTCAGGGAAACGGAAGCAGGGCGTTTTTAGCATGGTTGTTGTGGCTCCGAACGTTGTTTGCGGTACGCAAATTTATTCATCGTCTATCTTACTCCACAAAAACGTAATCCAACATTTACTGCATTTTGTTGATTAGAAATTGATTGGATTAAGAAAAAAACAAAGGCTACCATCCATACAAACTTTTCTATTTATGGACCACAGTGTGGAAAAGTTCGTCTTACTGCTGTTAGACTATTTTTATCTCTGAAAATCACTCTGGTAACCACAGCAACAACAGCAACACATAAATGCGAAAAAAGCTTGAAGAGAAAAAAATTCATTGGCAATTGATGTTAAAGCCGCTTAGTCTTCAATGACAAACACAGATGTATCTGCTGAATTAGAACCTCTATACCACCATTGAGAATGAGACGAAAAAAACTAAATCATATCGTAGGCTTATGATAACACCAAGCACGAATGGGATTTTTTTTTCAAATAAATATATAACTTTTGAACAAATGAAAGACGGAAAAAATATAACGATGGGCGAATGGATAAAGAAAAAACAACACCACTTACACATGAAATAAATGTAAATAAGTTCACATAAAAAGTGTATTTTAGCAGTCTCGATGTTGATTTTCCAATGCGATTCGTGTGAAAATAGAAATATATTCAAACACTGTG